TATTATATGTTGTATCCAGGTATATATATTTTATTATTAGTTTTCAGTAAAGTTTCTGATATGAATACAAGATGTATATCATTATTTGTTAGTATATGGTTTAGTTCTACTAAATTTTTTGTAATGCCATTTGCATTCCAATACATAATATTAAATTTAGATTCATTTATATACATAATGAAATGAAACATTGAAATACTAAACTTTGTTTTTCTTTAACCGTTGTTGTTTTTTTTTAATGTCATTTGCTAATTTCAGTAAGGTTTGAAGTGTATATTTAACAGTAGGATCTGAAAATAATTCTTTTAAGTCTTTAAGGGGGTATTCTACTGTAGAAGCATGAATTTTGCACGGTTTTTGAAGCGCTGTATAAAAGAAACAAATAATATTTTTACTATCGATTTTTTTGTCATTTGTTTATTGATATTTTATAATTACATAAAAAAAAATATTAAAGAAAAAAAATTAGAATTCACAAAGTTATGAGCAGTCAAAGTGGGGGCTCAAAAAAAAGAGGGTGTCCTGGCGTGCATGATTCCAACCCTCCTGGTGATCCGAAACATAAAAAATAGATGGATTCTTAATTATTATAGATGCCGCTATCGTATGAAAAAAAATTTTTGTTTTCATGTTTTTTTTAACAATTCCAATTTTTTTAAAAATACTAAATGAAAAGTTATAGTTTTGGGAAAGGTCCATGCGATAAAGCAATGTATAGAGAAGATCCTCTCCAAATTTGAAGTAAATTGGTTCATTAGAACTCGAGATATCCTTACCGCCAGCTCGAAAAAAGTAGTTCCGAGAAAAACGCGTTCAAAGTTTTGAGACTCGGTCGGACCCGAACCGAGGCCACGTCACTAAAACGGATATAACTCAGGAAATAATAGTAATTTTGAAAAATCCTTTTAATGACATATTTTTGAATAACAAAACTTTGAAAATATGAAAAAAAAAATTTTCGATTTTTTCAAAATTCTACAGTAGAATACCCCCTTAAGTGTATCAAACATGTTACTCGTCGGGAATTCGTCTGTGTTTGTGTTGTTGTCAGTGTTTACATTCTGTCTTGGTAGGTTGGGGAAGTTATGTAATGATTGGGAATATGATTTCAAAAGTGGTTTAGGTGTGGGAGCTGGTATGTAAGAAGTGGTATTTGTAGAATTTTTCTTCTTTCATTTTTCTCGGTGCGTTTTTCAAGATATTCTCTGAAATATCGGCATTCATTAAAATTGGCTGGGTGATTTCCAGAGCAATTTACACATATAGGTAGTTCATTATCAGTTTTAGGACACTCTCCAGGGGCATGTTCTTTAGTGCATTTAACGCATCGAAATTTCATATTGCAAAATGCTGATGTGTGACCAAAATATTGGCAACGGTAACATTGTGGCACTCTCTGAGATTTAGAAATTAAACGTCCCCACGATATTTTATGTCCAGATATGTGGTTAATTATTTTGAATACATTTAAATCTTGTTCAAAATTTAAATATATTATATGAACCAGGAGATCGTATTTAATGCCGTTCACAGTCTTGGTCATTCTTAATATTTTTTTAACTTTAATATTTCTTTCATTTAGAAAATCATAAATTTCTTCATTTTCAACATATGGAGGTATACCTTTAGCTACTATTTTTTTATCACTATGTAATGGATAAGTAAAATATTGGATTTTATCATCTGTTAGTCGTTTTTGTATTTGGCAGTAATCATGTTCATTATATGTAGAAATTAAGTAATTTTCTATGTCACGGTATTGTGACAGTATTTGATCCTTACTAATTTTCTGGAGTTCATTTATGTATTTATTGTTCGGTAATTTACTCTTAATTATAATAGGAGGCATTTTAATTCTTTGAGTAATATTAGTTGTACCTTTACCTGCTGTTGTGCTTTCTATCCTGTCACCGTTAATAGATCGTTTTCTGCTTTTAGCAGATTGTAAGTCTTCTTCAGGACCATTTGAGTCATTATTTAAAAGGCTAAATCTATTTTTGGTCTCGTAGTCACTATTTACAGTAGTTCCGTTACCTTTCGTTATTCCTTGTGAGGTCGATGGTTGGTTATCATCATCAGAAAGTTCCATATTTGTGTTATTCTTATTTTTTAATGTACTTAACAAACCTGTGACATATTCGGTATTCGTATTCGATGTGTCGTTCAGAATGTTATCCGTTTCTACAAGAGGTAATCCTCCATTGTAGTCAATCTTAGGCCCCCCCGAAGGGAGCATTTAATACGAATTGCAAAAATACAGTTGTAGTTTTTAGTTCGAAACACTGGTAAATTATTATTATTGCACTCACTTGTTCGATTTACGGTTATGTAATATTTTTGAATCACGATGTATTCACTTTGAGGTCTGAGACCAGAACGATGATCGGATGAGAACTAGTGTTCAGTTAAAACTCTAGTTTGTTGATGTCTAGGTTGAAAAAAACTTAAAAATATAAATGAATAGTTCGAGAGAGGCTTCTATGGATTATCATTGCTACTGCGATTACGATCGGAATTTTTTTTTATATAATAAACATTATTTTATTATATAAACATTATTATTACATTTTAAACATATATAAAAACTTATAACAAAGTATTGGATAAATCGCTATTTATCATATATTCCTTGCAATTGCTTCTAGCCTTTTTCCCCACTAGGGCAGCTGACAACCATAAAATTTCATGTGTTTTATTTTGTCGAACGTAATATATTTCAAAACACTGTAAGCGCCATTAATTAGCCCGTCTACATCAATATCAATATGACTCGTGAGCATACTTGATATCAATTTTCATCGTTTCCTGCAATTTTATGTCACTGTTTTACTGTTTTTTCTTAATGAATTAAAAATTAGTTTAGTGGGAATCTCGTTAATCCATTTATGCGCGTCACTAATTAGATGACGAGGCATTTGGCTATTTTTTACCGGTCGCCAGGTTGACCAGGTAGTGTGTCGGCCCGAAGCAATACCCACTAAGCCTAACTCCTAGTATTATGCCTGGAGGATGTTGGCGCAGGCAGCACGCAGCAATACAGACGATCAGCTGATCCCCTGTCGCTCCTTTCTAGTGGTCGTTGTTTTGGACCATTTGGCAAATCTGATCAGTCCGCCGATTATAACTCTCGTGGATATCACTTTCAACTCATTTTTCTTTACAATTCTTTCTGAGACCAGGAAGTTCGCCGACTCTTCATGCCAAACACCCCTTATGTTAAGTCTTATTGTATTTAACGCCACTGTTATATCGAAGCTTTACGTCGTTTTCCAGATTTTTATAGTATTCAAGCTTGCGTCTGTGGGCTCCAGCCATATTCGTTGAGCTTCCCACCACCTGAGCATCCAACAATATAGCTTTCTGGCCCTGCGCCGCAATTAGGTCTGATTTCCTTATACCTTCCGGTGTCTTGAAGGTTGGCTCTGCGTCAACACGGGTGTGCGATTTTCCCAGGGCACGTTTTACGTAGTTGCATATTGCATTATGCCTCTCAATCCGTTGACGGTGGCTCTTATGACAATTTTGCAGGACGTGATCTAACGTCTCTGGAACGTTGCATCATCCTGCCCTCCAGTTTCTGTCTTCTTTTCTACCTCTAGTAGTCCGAGATCTGGTCGGCATTGCGTTAATTCTGAATTTCACGCAGTTCATATAATCTCTGACGGACAGGAGCTTATTTCCATCCGTCACCCATCGATGTTGTGACGGGACTTTTGATGATTTGCTCAGTGCAGCACGGTCCACTGATTTATGCAGCAGCTGTGCCCACCTCGCATCAATCTGTTTTTGAGTGACTAGGACGATATTGTTGTCCTTCAACTTCTTTTCGCAATTTTCTATTTCCAGATTGTGGAAGCTGCTATCTCCCCAGTTTAATTTTATTAATCTATTTCTCTGTCTTAAGGGTACCATTCACCTCAGTAATGGGAACGATAAATCTCCATCATTGCTTTTGGCGTAAAAGTATGCCACTGTTGTATCATTTGGTAACCTTAACCATGCTCTAACCGCCTTCCTCACTGCACCATCTAACGATTTGAGAAAACCCAAATTGATTAAGAGAGTCATAGTTAGGGGAGGTAGGGGATCATTGGGCACTTTTTTACATAAATGTTAATAAAACTGTTATTTTTTATCACACATATTTGGTAGTAATTATTATTAAGAAAAGTTTCAATATTGTAATTAGTTTCAAAGTTACAAGAGATCTTCGAACACATGTCCAAAGTGCCCAAACCTCCCGGCGGTTGGGAGGTTTGGGCACCCATGTAGGGAGGTTTAGGCACTGTATTTAATATGCACGAAATTGCTTTACTATACTACTAGGCTTAAGTATTATATAACATTACTATAAAAAATTGTAATACAAACATTTTTTCTTATAAATTTTAGAAAAATTTAACAATGTGACTTAGAATCAGTACTGCAGGATGTTAGACTTAATTAAACTTATCTTATATTTGGTATGATCCATAGAGGCTTGTCAAATTTATATTTTAAGCTGCCACATTTTATCCATGTCGCTGGTGTAGGCAATTTTGTCTTTATATCCTCCAGGAGGACACTGGCTACGTCCTCGATGTCAGGAAATATAAAAGTATTTCTTAACTTACTCACTCTCATAAATTTTACAGTTGCCATCGTCTGATTAACATCTTCGATTATTCCAACATAATGGTAGACAGTTTTTTTGGTGTCAAATTTCACTAATACAAAGTTATTGATCTGGAAATTTCTATCCAGAACGATCACATCGTCTTCATCAAAATCTTCCGATTCAACAACGGTTTCGTCAGAAACTGAAACATTTTCTATTTCATCATCGCTGCTAATTTTCCTGTTTTTCTCTAGTTTGGAAGTAAATTCATCAGCAAGTTTCGGAATTTTTTTCTGTCCTGTATTTTTGAAGCATTTTCTATTTTTGTTGAGCTCTTTGATCTTATTTTTTCTTTGTCTTTCTTCTTCTTCCATTTCTATAAGTCTTTTCTCGGGCGTGTCCGTCAATATTCTAGTTTTTCCCTTCTTCTGTTCGATACCCTGCAATTACGCGTTACTCGTACATTGACAGTGCCACTAATTTGACTTGTAGAGGGAGATTCCAGTTGAGATGGCCCAATGACTTCCACATTTGAACTTGTACGATCCTCTAGACTCTGATTTTCCCCTGTTGAAGGCTGTTCAGTGACAGGTTGGTCTGAAATAGATTGTTCTGAAGGAACATTACCCTCTTCCGACAAGCAGCGATCAGTTATAAAAGAACAAGCGAAATCTTCATCGGAGAAAATATTTGAATTCAATGGCCATATGCCAGATTTTTCAAATCCACTTTGAATATTCTGCAACTTGAATGCTAGTGGAATGGCTTTTGCTGCTAATTTTGGTATTTCATAAATTGTTACTGTTTTGGCCGGATTGCTTACCATCCAATCTGTTACAGCAGTGTTATAATAAGTTTTCAGTGGTCCATAGACAGTCAGGTCTAGAGGTTGCAGTTTATGGCTGCAGTGTGGTGGGAAAGTCATTAAAACAATGCCTGATTGTTTGCAAAAATCGAGAACTGGTACTGAAATATGGCTCTCATGATTGTCCAGCAGCAAAAGAACTGGCGATGAAGGCGTTGGTTTTGCGTGTTTGGCGAAATGGTGAATATATTTTAAAAAATTTGGTGATGTCATCCACCCTGAAGGATGTGCTGCTCCATCTGAACTAACAGGGGCATCATTTAGCATATATGTTTTGATATTAACCCGTGGGAATATGAAAAATGGTGGTATTGAGTTACCCAATGCATTAATACCGCAGCAAACCGTTACAAGCGTCCCTCTTTCAGCTGACGTTACTTGCCCAACTTGCTTAGTACCTCTGAGAGCAATCACTTTCTGGGTTCGTTGCACCATTGATAATCCAGTTTCGTCTATATTGTAAATAGACTCAGGGCCGAAGCGATGCCGTTCATACACAGTTTTAAGATTTTCAAAAAAAATTCCGACATTTGTCTTATAGAAGCTTGTGGCCCGTGACAGACTGGTAGCCTCTGGTGTCCTTATCGAAAGTTGAGGCTGTCTTTTAAAAAATCCCCTTATCTAGTCTTTGGATGCAAGTTTCTTCTCTGTCCAGTTATTTGGTATTTTCTTTTTAATGGCAGTGGCGTATTCATAAACCAATTCGCGTGTTTTCAGTTTTGATAGTCCATGGTTTAGTTTAAAAGATGTTACAAGATATTCCGAAATTTTCTTTTCTTCATCTTTTGTGAATATTTGAGACGATATAAATTTACAAGAATTATCTTTTACGACACCACCCTGCTTGATATACCTTTGAAGGTTAGATCTTGGTATGTCATATTTATTCGCAGTACTTTTAATTTTAGCACCTTTGGAAACTTCTTCCAATGCGCGCAAAATAATATCTTTAGGGATTTCACGTCGCTTATTTTTCTTTTTAAATGAAAACGGCATTGTCCTAAAAAGAAATGATTAACCACTCAATCCAATAGGCATAGCAAAAAGACACCAAAATACACTAAAAACAGAGGGAGCATTGGGCATGCCCAAACCTCCCTCCTACCTGCGTGCCCAATGCTCCCCATAACCTCACTTTTCAAATAGATTAGAATAAGATTATTTTTATCAAATGTAGAAACCTAATTTACTGGCAAATATAATATTCATTAAACACAAAAGAAAAAGATAACACAGATACTTACCCGTTCTTGCAGATTTCTTTGATAAGTTACATCAAATCACAAATAAAATATTTACTTCTGTACGCAGCAAACCGTTACGCGCATGTAACTTGACAACCAAGTGAAATGACAGCTGACACTTTAGATAAGCGGTGTTGCTAGTGAATAAAGTATAGTGCTGTGGTAGAAAACAAAAAATATCTATGACAGTTTTGGAGAAATGAGGGGGTCCCAAACCTCCCGACTGCCCAATGCTCCCCTACTCCCGCCGTTTACCCGCGCTTGCTTGAATTTCTTCACGTTGACATTCAGAGCACTGGGCAGAAATCACATTGCGTCAACACCCGCTAGGGCCATCGCAATGCTTTGTTTTAATTAGACAAATTTAGAATTAAAAATTAGTTTTCACTTTGTCAATTTTTATTGAAAATTCATGATCGGCTGTCAAGATTATTAATGGATTTTTATTTTGATTAATTTTATTTTATTACATCATGCTACGTTGTCATTTGGTTTCTATAACCATACGGCTGTTTCTGGAACCTCTTTCTCTAGTTCTTATTCATTTTTATCTCCGACAAATTATTTATTGCATTTATAAACATTAATAATATTTTTGTCTTATTATCTCCGGTAATTAAAAATATCAAATGCATTTCACAATGGATTATTTTAAACTTTTTAAAGAATTTGCTTTTTATAACATTAGAGAAGTTTGTAAAATCATAGTATCATTGAAGTTGTAATATCATAATTGATAAATCAATTATTATTGCTGGAATTATTATAAAGAAATGGCTTGGCGGGAAACTGGTGTCAAAATAGATCACTGTTTTAACCCGCACTTGACAATCTTAGGGGTACTGTAAAACTCTTTGCTGATGTTTTTTGTCCCCCATCTTCTAACTGAAAAGATACCTAAATGCATCAGAATATTGTACTTTGTTAATCTTCCGAAGTTTATTTGGATAGCTTGGATTACAACATCGCATAGTCGTAGGACCGAAAAATTTAGTTTTTCTTTTTTCCCTTTTGCAGTAAATTTATTTACCTGGTCTTTTATTAATATTTTTTGCATTAGGGCGCGAATTGTGGCCTTATCATTATACTGATTTTCAGGGGCCAGCTCATGTATCAAGCCTGATGCGAAGTTTTCCTCTTTTAAATTTTCTTCCAATTCATCTATTCGTTTCATATTCTTTAACGGAAATGTAATGACTTGGTTTCGCTCGTCTTCATCTGAAATCACTAACGATTGCAGCTTATCCTCAAGGGCAGAGGTAGTTAGTTTTTTTTAAGATTTATTATTACATTTAATATAAAAAAAAATATATACAATCTATAAATTTTCAACATGAATATCATCTATCTTCATTTGAAGATAACAAAACAATTATTTAAACTATTCACTTAACTATTACTTTAATCTAAATAATATTTATCATGTGGCAAAAATATCACAAAAACCACAAACAATATATTTAAGGACAATACAACACTAACAAAAACATAAATGTGGTGGAAAACTTTTGAAAACCTAAAACTGTAATATTTATTTTCACTAAAGATCTTTTATAAAACTAGGTAGAACATAGTTAGAATACCAGAACATATCTTTTGTCACAGAACCTATCACATTAATTGTTGTGTTATTATTAACTAAACATTTTGAAAAAAAGAATTTTGAGATTTTATTTATTAATTCCATAATTTCCGGAACTTTTATTGCCTCATGTAGTATTTTGTTTGATATATAGTGTAGATTTACTGGATTTCTTGATGTTCCAAAAACTATCCTCATGCAGAGGTAGTAGCTTGAGTGCCATTATGAATATCTTGACCTGTCACAATGTCAGGCTCACAATTTTCTATTATACGTACCAAAGTCTGGACATCTTCCGGTAAGTTCTCATCAAAATATTTGTCCATTATTTTTAATAATTTATTAACTTTATTCTTTTGTATTGTTATTTTGTTTCACCCAATGATACAGTTAATACAAATGTTGTCAGTCGATGAAACTTCTTCATTATTGATGGGTAAGTTATTCACTTTGCTTTTGTACAATCAAGAGATCAACATTATTGCCCTCACAGAATTCTGCCTCAACGTTCCTTATGTCATCAAAGATAAGATTTACTTATCAGTAATTTTCTGCAAAAAGTATTAATTATTAAAGTATATAAAGTTATAATTACTTGGCCTTGTTGCAGATTATTGTCGTGATTCTGTAATTGGCATAAAGGAGACACCTCTAATTTATTAAATTCCATAATGCTTGAAGAAGCTAAAAAAACAAGCATAAAAAATATATAAATCATTAGAAAATAGATAGAGTACCTGATTTAAATACACAATTACATCATTTAAAATTAATAATGAATTAATTATTAAACAACTTGTATTTATCTACCTGAAATGAGATTAATATTCTAATATAGTATGCCCCTGCCTTCACATCACTTCTGCAAATCGACGTATCAAGTTCTAAAATAATGTTTTTTAAAATCTAACCATCAAACACATATATAAATTTTATTATTACTATTACGGAATCTATGTTTATCAGGAAGACATTTCTCGTCTAGATATTTATAGAATCCTGTAAAAACCAAGCAAAATATGAATTGAGCATTTCCAATAAGAGGTTTTAGTATTTAGTCCGCGAACATCCTGATAATAACATGTAATGACATTACTATCTGTACGCAAAGTTAGTTTAAAGCTATAATCTGTGGTCGCCATTGATATTATTAATTTTAAGATTTTTCTCACCATTTCACCATTTCATCATTTCAGTCCCTGTGATATTGAGATTTTTGAAATTGGCCTAGTCTTTTTCTGCAGTTAAGCAAATTTTTTCTAGATTATCATAGATTGTCTTTGAATACAATTTTTAGTGGCTTTGGCTTAGTCCTTAGCGGATTAAATTTCCCCAATCTGAATAGTTCGAAAGACGACGGAGATCAAGGTACACCTACAATGTTAATGATTATATTTCGATATTTGTCTGTTTGATATATGTTTTAACTATATAATTGAAATTTAAGTGTAGAAATTGAGACTGGCCATTTTTGTACTTACTCACACTATTGTACATACATTTCGGTATAGATTGTAGTGTAAAAACAATGATTATTTTTAACTAAAAGGTAAATATCAGTATAGGTTATTGAAAAAATTGGAGTTTTTAGGCATGGGTACAGAACAACGTCTGTACTAGTTTAAGTATAAATCTATTTCGTCACTCTTTTTTGTCTGGCGCTATTTTTTTATGTAACTGCCAAAAGTCAAAACTGTCTGGCGTGATATCAATATCTAAACTTGTAGTAGAACTGTTCAAACAAATTTGATTTTTCAATGCATTTATTGCATTTAAGTCGGCATTGGTGTACTTAAAATAAAATGCAAGTTTTGAAAGCGTGGATCTAGTAATGTGGCTATAGCCATTGCTATAGCCTCAATGTCATTGGTATTGCGTGACATCAATATATAAACTTGTAGAAGAACTGTTGAAACAAATTTGATTTTTCAATGCATTTACTGCATTTAAGGCAGCATTGGTGTACTTAAAATGCAAGTTTTGAAAGCGTGGATCTAGTAATGTGGCTATAGCTATTGCTATAGCCCCAATGTCATTGCTATTGCGTAACATCAATATCTAAACTTGTAGTAGAACTGTTCAAACAAATTTGATTTTTCAATGCATTTATTGCATTTAAGGCAGCATTGGTGTTCTTAAAATGCAAATTTTAAAAGCGTGAATCTAGTAGTGTGGCTATAGCCATTGCTAATTTTTTTTTCTAGATTCGAAAACCGTCTGCTTGCAGTGTCAATTAAAGCTTGTTTTAATTTGACACAAAGGCGCGATTTTGGTATAAATCAACTAAAGATATAACGTTCGACACCGTAACATAGTATTGAGTGCATAATTATTTATTTATGTACTCCAACGGCTGCAGTAGATTAGATAATTCTCTACTTCAACTTCAGCCGCTAATACAATACCGGGAGCATTTGCATCACTGATTGTAATTTGTGCGACATATGAAGCTAATTTTAAAAATCTTTCTAGCATGTAGTAACACGAATTCTGCCTTATTTTTACATCTAATATGAACTTTAAAGCTTATGCGAACTTTCACATTAAGCCTTTTTCAGCTTATCTGAAGCTACAACACTTGTTCTAAAACATTTGACAAAGTTTCTTAC